ATCCTGTTGCTGTATGGGTATTCTTATCTCATCGCTGTACCCGAACGTTGTATTGGCGAACGGGTTGTACGTGTGAGTCTCGATCTTGACGATGCGATCATCAAAGATCGGCTCACCGGTAATATTCAAGATATCAATCATCTCAAAAGTTGTGCACCGCGAATCCAAAAGATTGTAAAAATTTAACGTTCGGTGCGTTGAGCTTCTTGCTGATGCAGCTAGGTGAGCGAGTTTTATCGAGCTGTGACGTCACCGGCCTTGTAAAGAATTCGTTATCTCTCTGCGTGCGCTCCGCTCCATTCATTACAAGCATCTCACGCTCGCGTTATCGCTGTCGCTATCGCACGTGCAATCTGACGGTAATCTCTTCTCCTCGAAAATCAAGCAATCGTCCGTTCTGGTCGACGACGCGTATCGTTAGATCCGTAATGCTCCGTGCGGTGATCGGCAAGTAAATGATCTGCGCGGGCCTTTCCGATATCTTATATCCCGGTGGCACGCTCGGTGAAAATTCGTGTATCGTGTGCACACCTTTGCCGTTGCTATATGCGCTCGCGGTCACGTTACACTCTACGCGGATAACGTTCACGTTCATTATGTTGATCGACACGTCGGATTCGTGCCATCTTCGCGGTCGCAGTATACGCTTCGACGAGAATCCCAGCAGCGATCCCAATGCTGTTGGGCTTGTCAAAGTTTATTCTGTAGGCGCATCTAATCTCAAATCTCATCGTGTTGTAATTTGCACGGATCGTTATCGGATATTCTCCACTCTCGTCGTCATCGGTGTTGTCATCGGTGTTATATTTGGTACTGTTGCTATTGTCACCATGCAAAAGCACTATGTCAACGGTTTCAAGCGCGTCGCGGCGCGAACGTAAAATCGCACGTTTCGAAAATTTACGTCTCGAATTTCGTACGAACCCTCGGGAATTTTAATTTCTGCGTCATCTTTATAGAAATAAAATTTATTGTTTGACTCGTTCACAGTGACTCGTTTACGTTCGGTATCTTGTGATAAGTCTCAAAAATCATCAGGCCGAGCTCGTAATCACTGTCACTCAAATCTATGGCAGGGAAGTAGTTCGCCGCGAGGAGGCTGCTTTTCCCGCTCAGTGTAAGTGTCAACGACATGATGGAAAAAGCGTTCGACCAATACTGAGATTTCACGGCACCTAGTCGAGCTTTTTAAATTCATAAGCGTCGACCGTTCGTAGAAACCACAGACACATCTGTCCGCAGAAGCTCTGATCGTACGTCTGATAGAACGTACGATTATACTCTATCGTCGTAACACCGTTTCCGAAATATCGCACCAATTCCTTAGGCGGTTGAAGATTAACGAAACTGTCAAAGTACACGATGCGATCGTTCCTCTTCGCGTACGCTACCCAGTGAGTACAGGGTCCCGTCGCATCGTCACAGATTAATGATACCGCTTTCGTTTCGGCGCGCGCCACTCGTCGGTAAGGCGTTATGCATGAAAATACCTCTAAAGTACGATACGCGCATACGTCTCGCGAGTTGATCCAATTGCACGTTGGTAGTTGCACCCGAGGGCATTTTTATCGTCTCTTTGGCGTTTTTTTTTTCTTCGTTGCTACACCCTGTCCACGTTTGTAGGGGCTGAGATGCAGTCCGAGTCCGTATTTGTGCGAAGCGTGATACAGTCCACGACCCTGTACCATCGCGCGATTGTGACGTTGCAGCTCCTCGAGCTGACGTCGCGCGGCTTTGCTGTCGTTTACCGCTTTCGCCACGCCGGCCGCTCCACCGATCAAGGACCCGAGCGCGCCCAACATTCCTAGAATTGATAACGCGCCGCCTCGTTTCGCCGTTGTCGCATCCGCTTCGTCACCTTTTTCCTCGTCGTCGTCGTCGTCGTCGTCGTCGTCTTCTTCGGTTTCATGTCCATGCCGATCTTGGTCTTGGCTTTCATCGCTGCCCAACCGGCAGCAGCGGCGGCTCTCTCTCCGAGAGTGGAGTCTTTCGCGGTAATGCGTTTCTGCTCCTTTTCAGCGAGTACCTTGTCAGCTATGTGTCGTTTCGCGAGATCTTTGTTCCGCGAATAAGCTATATCGTGTTCTCGGCACGCCGCGTCCAACAGATTTATGCCTGCGTCACCTCTAGCCAATCGCTTTTCTAAATGCGTTCGTGGACCGCAAAACTGGTAGCCCGGAATATGTAACTCGAAAGGAAGCGCGTTTATCGCTCGATTCAGCAGACCGCACAACGCTGACATTCGCTACAGCCCCTTATCTTCGGTGCGGGACCGTCGATGTGCGCCCACTGCCACGGGTGATTGCAGTGCTCGTCGCAGCGACGATACGTTCGAACTTCCGAATCCGCCTTCACGTGTTCAGGAAGCTTGTCCCACACGTGGTCGATATAGTCGCCGTACACGCCTAACAGTACGATCTTCGGTATATACTGCAACTGCTCGGCGCTCAAATCCAAAATGTCGGAAGGATGACACAGCGCGAGATATATTTTACTACTGCGCGACTCGCGAGTTGGCGCACCTTTAAATAGGCGGTCGAGAATGCGTAGCACGTAGTGTGAGCATGAAATTCGTGCAGCAACCGTTGACGATAAGCGTCGCGAACTGTGACGAGAAATCGCGAATAATGGGGGGCGCGGAGAAGCGCAAGCATGGCGAAATGCTGCCGAGTACTATACGCGCGATCATTTGCGGCTC